CTTTGGTGTGTCAAAGCTAGGTCGAAGTCCACCGCATTCACCAGACCCGAGTCTCGGTGCAATACAGCCAGATCGAAGTCCACCGCACTCACCAGAACCAGGAACTGGTGCATCACAAGCTCTTTCACCAGAACCGAGTCTCGGTGCACTACAGGCAGACCGAACTCCATCGCACTCACCAGAGCCAAGCCTTGGTGTGCCACAGCGGGGTCAAAGCCCCCCGCATTCACTAGAATCAAGACTCGTTGCGCCACAGCCAGAGCAAACTCCACCGCATTCACCAGAGCCAAGCCTTGCTGCACCACAACCAGATCCAAGTCCATCGCACTTACCAGAACCAAATATCGGTGTACCACAGCCAAATCGAAGCCCCCCGCATTCACCAGAACCAAGAACTGGTGCATCACAATCTCATTCACCAGAATCAAGCATCCGTGCGCCACACTCAGGTCGAAGTCCACCGCACTCACCAGAGCCAAGCCACAGTGTACCACAGCCAGATCAAATTCCACCGCAATCATCAGAACCAAGCCTCGTTGCGCCACAGCCAGACCGAACTCCATCGCACTCTCCAGAACCAAGCTTTGGTGTGTCAAAGCTAGGTCGAAGTCCACCGCATTCACCAGGACCGAGTCTCGGTGCACTACAGCCAGATCGAAGTCCATCGCACTCACCAGAACCAGGAATTGGTGCATCACAAGCTCATTCACCAGAATCAAGCTTCAGTGCGTCACAGCCAGGTCGAAGCTCACCGAATTCACCGGAGGCAAGCCTCGGTGCGCTACAGCTAGGTCGAAGCCCACCTCATTCACCAGAACCAAGTTCGGGTGCACCGCAGCCAGATCGCAATCCACCGCATTCGCCAGAACCAAGAATTGGCGCGTTGCAACCAGATCGAATTCCACCACTTTCCTCAGAGCGAGGTATCGACCCGTCACAACCTGATCAAAGCCCACCGCGCTCATTGGAAACGAGTGTCGTTTCGTCGGGGCGGAGCTCTCCGGATTCATCAGAAATAAGTGTCGGAACGTCAGAGTACCTAAGCCCACCGCAGTCATTAGAATCAAATGTTGGCGTATCACAACCAAATCGAAGTCCGCCGTTTTCACCAAAACTGAATGTCGACGCATCGGATCGAATTCCACCGGAGTACCTGGAACCAAGTATAGGCGCAGTGGACCGTAGCCCGCCAAATTCACCAGAACCAGCTATTGGTGTCACACAGCGTGGTCAGGATCCGCTGCTGACACAGGAACAAAACATAGCTTCGTCTCGACAGACTCGTAGTCTGCAGATACTGCCAGAACCAACTGCTGCTACATCAGCATTGGGTGACAGCCCAGAGCATCCAGTGGAACCAAGCATTAGTGCATCAGAAATAGGTTCCCACCTACCGTATTCGCAGTTAACTCCCAGGGGAACTCAATTCTCCGAATTAAACAAACCTCATTCTCTAGCAGGTTTACGATCACCCGATCTAATAGCTGCATATTCACGACTCCGTGCGCAAGAAACTCCAACAGATTTCTCCGATCCCACAGAGTCTCGCGTTCCTTATGCATCCCATTCACAACCACACGCCGATTCATGGAATCAGCCGTCAACGGAGGGCGCGCAATTGCTTAACTTCATTCGATCTGAGCTACAACATTCCCAATCGCAAAAAGCTGGAAGCTCTAGAACTGAAATGCGTCCTGAACATCCGCAACTCCCCCTCTCAGGTATGGCAGCCGGTTCCAGTCCTTTAAGTTCACATCATCCGGGAGCAGTTTCGCAGGGTCCCCCGGAACCAATTCTCATTCGCCCGTCCCAGCATCAGCTTCATTCAGATTCCAGTCCGACTGATCTGGCTCTGTCGCAGCCTTTTTCCGAATCCGGTCCAGAGTCGCATTCGCAAGCATCTCGCGCAACTTCTGACTCAACTGATCCAGAGCAGTCAGATGGCGTAATGGATCAGCTATCTACATGGTTAGGTTTAAAAGGACTGCAGTCACGCAAACCACGTTCATCGTGCCGTCATTGTTTGATCATTCAAGCGGAACCAGATCCTGAAGTGCCCCATTTTGACGGATTGCGCCATTTCGGCCATATGCGCCCACTAAACGTATGGAGAGGCCAAAAAACATTTTAAGACACCACTTTATCGCTGAATGGATGAGCATTTCAAAATTACTTGTTATTTGGAATTTGAAGCGGCTACTGCTTCACCACCAGTTCTGTCAGCGATATAGCCGACAACAATGCCATTTTCTTTCTTCATTTTCAGTTGTTTTGACAGGTATTATAACGAATGATGATCTTCTAGTGATCATGATCAACTTTGTGGCTCCCCTAGCAAAAGCACATTTTGAAAATTTAAGGATTCGGGCAGATTTAGATTTTAGGTCCCCAAATCCATTGGAGCAAGAACCCATTTGTATAGTTTTTTGTAAACATTCTTTTTGAGCTAATGTGAAAAAGTTTCTATTAATTGATATGTGTGTTGTATACTGCCGATCATATCCGAAGTAACACTTTTTGGATACACCCGGGTTTGAAATGTGTGAAAAATGGCACAAATTAGGAAGAAAATTACAGTTGGTTCAAGCGATTTGTGAGTCAAACCTGTTTCGCGATCTGAGACTAATTGGTCAGTTGATCGATTCCTGAAAATTTCGTTTATCGTTGAATGGCCAGCGAAAAGAGTAATTAGCAGCACGTGATGCTTCAGGATAATCCCTGAATCGTGCATTGATCTCGCGTTCATGTAGTGATTTTTAGAATTATTGCA